GCTGCTGGAATATTGCTGGACTTGAATGGAACGGAGAAGCTACCCATCTTTGTCACACTGTGTCTTCATGCATAGATCTAAATATTCAGATTCGTGCATTTCGTATATTTGTCACTCGTGTGCGTGCAGTGGAAGGTGATTGTCACTTTGAATAATATTGACCATATCAGATCATCGATATACAATGTACCTGAAACTATAGTTATACGTATTGGGCAAACGCCAATATTTTATCTAGCTAATCCAAGAAGGAATTCCGCTTCATATGCATAGCTGACTTGGTTGACATGTCATCGTATTCTCATTGTGTAGATCAATGCCCATGATGTAGATCACTGGATTGTCTGGACTCGATCATTTACAAGCCGCCGCCATATAGCTGTAATATTGCTGGGTGCAGCGTTAAACAACAAGCCATCCAACCAATCATATGCATGAAGAATCACAGATGGGGAGCACATCTCTATCCCCAAAAATGTTTCACATGGTGTTTTTCAATAGATTCAGATGATATTTCCTATTACGTTTCGAAGATTTGCCCTGGGCCTTTAAAGAATAAAATATTTCTGAGGTCACCCTGGATGGAGGAATGAAGTTTATATCAGGTGTGTTGTTTGGAGTGGTGGTATATAAAGTTTAAAACTCAACTATTTGACATAAATGCACCTGGTCCTTTTCTGAGATTACACAAATTCAAGCAAATGCGTTTTTGTCTTCAAGAATCCATATTTAATTAATTCCAACTGTGTTATATAGCCTTTGAGTATAATAAATACTTCCTTGATTGCATTCGGGACTAGGGTTTGAGACAGTGATTTCAGCTGCTAGACCGAGCGATACATCCTTCTGGGTTGTTAGAGATTTAGGGATTATTAGACACTTTTAGAACACAGGAATTGATATGTCTTCATGTTATAAAGTCGAACTGTTTTCTTAGATTCGCATTGCGTCTTAACCATTTTTTTCCAAATTTGTCGCATCAGCAACAAATTTAATGTCCCGTGCAATTGGTTATTTTTGAGTTGGCATGATAGCCTTTTCCCGAACACCGGGTATCATATCTGTTTGATTCCATGCTTTTAGCAGAGAAGTTATGACTTATGAAAACGATTTTGCCATTTCTATTTTCTCAAGTATCTGACAACCTTCTGAACTCATGAAGAAATTTGGAATCTGTTTCTGAGTGAAATGTATATTATATTCTCTCGCATTTATGTTATAGTATAAAATATGCTATTGAAATATGTTAAACGCGCGTGATTTGGAGTGCTGTGGGTTGCAGGCCGTATAAACTAAAGTAATAACAAATTCGGGTGTCTATTACTACCTGTTCTAGGACAAATCGGCGGACAAGTAACAGATGTGCGATAGGTGTTTTTCATGCGTGATAAAGTATAATTACATGCTTTGGTAAGTACTAATAATATGTATAACTCAAATGGCTGGAATGACATCAGAAAGGGTCTGTATGTGCAGTGAGTAGGGCTGGGACGGGTACTCGGGTATTCGAATCCGGGTCGGGTACAGCTGGAATCGAGTCCTATTTCTAGGAATCGAGTACCCGGAAAAGGAGAACTCTGTAATGGCAAGGGTACATAATAACTTGTCTTTTTCATTATTGACGTAACACACATTTGAATCACTGGTATTGTCCGATTAATGGAGGTCATTATTAACGACAGTAATATATCTGAGCATGAGCAGTGAGGAGTCAAGTTACAGTAACAGTGGTAACGAAAAGTCCTGTGTTTTAACGAGGAATGCATGTAATGGTGTTACTCTCTATATTTGGTAAATAGACGTAAATTAAATAGCCTACATTCAGTTTCAATATCTTATTGCCATCCTTTCAAGGTTTGTATAAAAATATCCGTCAACTCGTGATTGAATATTCAGAAAGTTGACAGAAGCGCTTTATTCCTTACATTTCCGGGTACTCGATTCCGATTCGGGTAAGTACATGCGGGTACTCGATTCCATTTTTTCCTACCCGTCCCAGCCCTAGCAGTGAGCAGCTGATCCCATATTGCACTGCCCGCACAGACCAGCAGTGCAATGGTCAGTTGGTGCTCAGTGGTTACAAGATGGTTCGACCTGGACAAGCAAACATGCTCACATACCGTGAAAAACATTGTGTTTTTGTCTCACACCATATGTTCTGTAATTTGCACGGGACAGTAAAGTTTGTAATTGTGTGTGTGTCAATTACTGAGTAACATAAATACATACTGTTTCCCTCTCTGTGTTTCATTCGAGAAGTATATTTGCCGGAAATGCTTATTTACCATTTTCATCAACAATTTTAGGAAAGGAAACAGATATCCAGACACAGGTCGTAAATAGGCCACAGAACGATCGTGATATTCTAGTCAAGGGCAAAAAAACGACCATCAAGCGGAGAATGGTGGACACTGAAGTTGATGGTCCTGGCAGATAAAGGAGCTCATTTTACGGAATGGTTAACAGTGAGGTTTATGGTCTTGGCAGATAAAGGTCATTTTACGGAATGGACGACAATGAAGTTGATGGTCCTGGCAGATAAAGGAGGTCATTTTACAGAATGGTTAACAGTGAGGTCGATGGTCTTGGCAGATAAAGGAGGTCATTTTACGGAATGGTTAACAGTGAGGTTGATGGTCTTGGCAGATGGTTAACAGTGAATGGTCTTGGGAGGTCATTTTACGGAATTTACAGTGAGAATGGTTTACAGAATGGTTAACAGTGAGGTTGATGGTCTTGGCAGATAATGGAGGTCATTTTACGGAATGGTTAACAGTGAGGTTGATGGTCTTGGCAGATAAAGGTCATTTTACGGAATGCACGACAATGAAATTGATGGTCCTGGCAGATAAAGGAGGTCATTTTATGGAATGGTTAACAGTGAGGTTGATGGTCTTGGCAGATAAAGGTCATTTTACGGAATGGACGACAATGAAGTTGATGGTCCTGGCAGATAAAGGAGGTCATTTTACAGAATGGTTAACAGTGAGGTTGATGGTCTTGGCAGATAAAAGAGGTCATTTTATAGAATGGTGGACACTGAAGTTGATGGTCCAGACAGATAAAGGAGACCTGATTGCTGATTTTCATGGGACGACCTGTATTCGCCCCAATATTTCCCCTGTATCTGTAACAGTGGCTTGAAATCAGGGGAACTTTCAGCAGACTACTGGAGTGAGATTTTCATTTATAAATCGTCTTCATATATACACGTGGTCGGCATTGTTCGACTGCCTCTCCATTTACAGTGTACACAACGTAGAAACTGAGATAATCCTTGCTGGTTGTGTGTTTCTTGAGGAGTTCCGATTTGGTACATGATATGGAGATGGCAATTCATATTAATCTGAAAAGGCGGATTCCCTTAAATATTGTTCCCCATACATCACTCTATTTCTGCATGAATATAACTTTATCATGAATCGAAGAAATTATGCAAAACTGTTTTGTTGTCGTCTCAAACCTCAATCCCGATTACGGGTCATGAAGATACCGATGGTTACGAGAACCGCTTAAAGTGAATGAAACATGTATGAATAACTAATTTTGTGTTTTGTATATTTTGATGAACGTGTAAGTTTTTCGTCCCGTTCTTCACCATTTTATTCCAATTACAAGTACTGGAAATAGATGGGTGATCACTCAACAACCATCACGTCATGGTTCATTGTCCTCAGGTCGAGTCCTCGTTGCCGCCATTGAGATGCCTTCAGACCGTCGTTGTTTAGGCGGGACAAGACACCCACATTTTCGCGAACAACGGGTTTCGTCACTTTTGGATCTATTTACCATCGTCAGACAAACCAGTGGTTGACATATGTTGATGCCCATCACTTGCAGTCGGACTAAGAGGCCCTGCTTGCCACTCAATGGCCTGTCACACACCGATCCTGTTTAGGCCACCGATGACAAGCAATTAGTGCTGGGATCTCACCTTTCGGAAACATCACTTGTTCAGAAATATTGTATTAAAATAAGTTCTTGTTCTGAATATTTGTGATCTGTAAAAGTTTATTCGACGAAATTTCCTTTTAAGCGTTGTCGTCAATAGCTATTAAACTTTATGTAAACGTGACAAAAGTGCCATTTGACTGACATAAAACTATCTGCTATAAACAGTGAAAACATATGAAATCTCATTTTAAGTGAAAGAATAGAGTTTTCAGTTGGTCCAATACCCAGTATTGTCATATACTTACCTGGGATATGAGTAAAACGAACACGCTTATAATGATTCCGGACAATTTTAATCAGAAAGCTGTCAAGGTCTTTTCTGTAAACCTTCGCGAACACAAGTTCAATTAAACTAAATCCTGTACAAATTATGAAATGATATAGCTGGCACTGTACCAACACTACAAAACATCCCGTGTACAGCTCAAAGTGTTGTCAATATGAAATTTATTTACAAAGCAAGTGGTGACAATGTTGCAGGAATATCAACACGGGAAGAGCAGACGACAATATTTCCTGCTCATGAGCGATGCAAGACTTCAGTTGATGTCCAATGAAAAACTTCTTTAAGAGGCATATCGAAGCTGAAGTACTAACGAAGGATCTAATATATGGATGAACAATTTCTTTATCACAATTAATACTGCTTCATTTCATTTGGGTGTAGGTTCTAACACCGTTAGCAAGGACGTGATGTATTGAGTATGGTTGAGAGGCACATATACAAATGTGAGATAGTGTATTTACAGTTACTAAACATAATACAATAAACCATAAAACATTTCCTCATATTTCTACACAAGCCTCATAACCATAAATCATACAACGCGTTGCCATATTATTACGTATAATTGTAACGGCGTTGATATCGTGTATAGCGATGCCTGTTTTTAAAATACTGCTACTTAAAAACGACACCGCGTATCGTCGTAATATCTTGTCACATGATCGACCATGATGTCACGTGTCTGTCATGTGACTATTTTTAATCCACTTGTCCGCTACACATTCTGGCTATTTCCGGCAACAATGGGGAAATCGGCTGATTTGTCGGAGTCACTAAAGATATTAATTGTAAAAACATTTTGAAGTGGGGAAAAATGTTCTAACATTGCAAATTTCTTTGGAATGCCTCGAAGCAGCGTATATTCGGTGGTAAAGCGGTTTAATCAACGTGGATATCTTAGTCGAGAATGCTCTCAGAACAGGCCGTATGAGGAAACTGACTCCTCGGGACAATCGACAACTTTTGAGGTTGGTCAGAGACAATAGGATTTCACCTTTGGGTGAAATAACTGAGAATTTGAACAACGATAGGGCTACACGTGTATCGGTGAGGACTGTAAGGGGACGATTATATGAAAATAAATTTCATAGACGTGTTGTTAGAAAGAAAATCCGAAATCGTGACTATAATGTCAAAAATCGTTTGGCCTGGGCAAGGGGGCAAGGATATCGTACAGTGAATAATTACTGAAATCGAGTAATCTTCTCTGACGAGTGTAAAATTATCATTGGGGAAAACAATCGTGTTTTTGTTTGGAGACAGCCCGGTGAAGAATACCTCCCGCAATGTCTGTCCGGGACGACAGCCACGCGTCAGTTTGATGGTGTGGGGTTGTATCACCTGGCATGGTGATACATAAATGCTCAGAAATACACAGAAATCCTCGATGATATGCTTTGGCCCGTTATAGCCAGACATTTTCCGGGAAACCGCTGCATTTTCCAAGATGACAACGCCCATGTACATCGGGCCCGTGTCGTTCAAGATTACAAGTGACAAAATGACATTACTGGAATGTTGTGGCCTGCACAGAGTCCAGACGCAAATATTATTGAGAACTGTTGGCTCTACCTGAAGAATAGACATCAGGGACGCCGAAGAAGCATTCAGTCGGCTGCAGACTTGGAACACGAAGTGCGGGACATCTGGGAAAATATTCCCCTCGATTTCATCAGAAATCTTTATTCATCGATTCCAAGGCGGATGTTGAAAATAATAAGGAACAAGGGACACATCACTTGTTTATATTTAACGAGTTATGACACTTTGAACTCCCGCGTAAAATTTGTCGTCACCAATCGGTCCGCTATGTTTGTAAGTAATAATATGGCCACCCGCAGTACATTGCTTGTCTGATAATGGCGTTAAACTTATACCGAAAGATCGCTCCTATTATATTAAAGAAGTTGTTCGTCCACATATCTAATCCTTCCTGGGTGCAATGAAGAGGCAGACATGACGTATATGTCAATATATACATGTAAAGCGTCATCAGACATCAATTATCTACCTGTTTACATGACAAACACTTTCAATTTAGGGTTGCAGGTTTGTGTCGTGTTCACAACAGGTTTTATTATCGTGATTAACGTCCAAATCAGCAATATCACGAGGCCTGTGATTGTTATGGTAGCTAAACCTTTAATCAACAATTGTTTAATACACTAGCTTATTCAGGAACAAATGAAGGTTAATTAACTAAATCGTAAAAGGTAGCGTCAATTGTAATTAAGAAAATAAATCAATGACGTCTCATTTGGATTGAGAATACGTTGGCCAGGTAAGAACGTATCGACTTCACTCCATGATGAACAATACGTTCAGAGATGACGAATATCCTTATATACCATAAAACACACTGCTACATTTTAACATACTTTTAAAATGATTTTGATGTATCTATAGAGTACGCAATAAGACATAATGTTAAATGTATTCTGAGGAGATTCAGTGAGACGGAGAGGGAGATTCAGTGAGACGTTTCGCTTCCCTATTAACGGTCTCCCGCGCCTTCATTCAATCCCATTTGCCAATGATTACCACTGAGCATAGCAGGTATGCGAGTGACATTCTCGGTAGGACTTTAATGTTCTTTATGCAACAAATGAATTAGTAATGGTATCATTAACATTTTCAAGTAAGCAAAACAGGTATCTTTAGCAATAAATTTCACATCAAAATGACTGACTGACTGAGTTTAGTTTTACGCCGCTTTTAGCAATTTTCCAGCAATATCACGGCGGGGGACACCAGAAATGGGTTTCACACATTGTGCCCATGTGGGGAATTGAACCCGGGTCTTCGGCGTGACGAGCCAACGCTTTAACCACTAGGCCACCCCACCGCCCCTCACATCTAAATGAAACTAAAATACTGATGGAAAGCTATTAGAATGTGTAGTTCAAGGAAACTGACGTCGTCCTTTTCTTTTCAGTCCAAGTCACCATTCACAGTTACCGAACAAGACATACATCTTTCAGTGAAGACAACCAGAAGATCATGGCTGCCTTATATTTAATATGATCCTGTGTGTTTTATCAACTAGAAACGTTAAACGCGTGTTGCATGTACCTTTCAGTTAACGTTCTAATGAGCATGTGTCCTGATGACCAAATGGTGTCGTGTGACTGCACGAAGCACATTGGTTGCAACTGTAGCTTTGAAGAAGCTGCCAAAATCCCAGTAGTGACTTGTCTGCACACAGTACATAGCAAAACCTTATAGCAGTGTTGTTGTCAACGTGTTTACATATTTACAAACCGGCTATAAAATCAAATAAACCCAATCATTATGTAAAAACATGAGACTTAAAACAAGAAATAGTTAACAGGTCAATGAACATTTAACAATGGTTAAAACATTTCCCAATTCAGCATCGTGACAAATGGGATTAATGTTGAGTAACATCACGAAAGGGTTCCTTAACCTTGCATGACCACAATCGAAATGAAAGAAATGTCTGATATTTCGTTTTGAAATATTACAGCGACACAAACGTTATTCAGTTTCAGATATATCTTACTGGCGTGTATTGATTATTGTCAGCAGTGATGTAATGATTTGTTTTTTCTTAACTTCCATTCACCATCTTGGTGACTGGAACTGCCATGAATTCACCAGCTGCCTGAAGCTGTGTCCTGAATGCCGATGCCGATGCTGGGTGCATGCATCCTCCGATGACGATTCATGTCGATTCTTGATGACGGGGTCATTTTCTCTCTTCATAATAGCACTTCTTTTTCTTTGTCGACTGTGAATGGCTGGTTTCTATCTACCTCCAACCATAACTGCAACAACGCGAACTGGGTGTCAAGGACAATGTCCTTAAGTCTATACGAATGACAGTCAATGTCTTAATAGCTGTTTATAGATCTTCAAGAGGTTTCAATACCTTATCTGTAAACAAGACAAATGGAAGACAAAATTCAAAGACAATGTTAAGTATGATATCCCATGAAATATATGTTCACCATGTGTATCTCTATGAAAACCTGAAACCATTAGGTTTCACAGGCCCGAGTGAAAGTGAGATCTGTGTTAGAATGGGTCTCGAAATCTCAGTCAGCAATATTACAGCTAAGAAAGTGTTATACTGTTAAACCAGACCGGAAACGGTCAGCAAAACACGCACGCACGCACGCACGCTCACACACAATCAGGGGTATTCCAACACATGTAGAGAGAAAAGAGAAAAAGCTATTCACTCTCAGCAATCAATATGGCCGTCTAAACTCAGTTGTTTCACCTCTGACCATAAGATTATTTCTTCGTCTTGCACTTTGTCAGCCTTATTCAAGCCATGTTAACGTGGCTTGTAAATAATCAAAAATAGGGACTGAGGGCACCAATGGTTGAAAGCAGTAAAACTACCATCACACATGTAGAACAAGACAAAAGGCCATTATGCCAATCCCACGTTTAGTCGACTCTTGGAGCAAGTATGAATAACTGAAGGCACATTTGGAGGTGTAATCGACACATGATTGATTCGATAGAGTAGCGACTCCTTCCACGAAGCAACATTTACTAAGGTTAACCTTAACTCCTATTCTTTAACACTGCACTAAGGTTATCTTAGTGACTTACGATTCACCTTAGTGCTTTGTGAAAGGAGGCCCAGCCTAATTTGGTCTCACAGGCTCAGAATGTTTTCAAAATTATTCAGGGGATAATGAAACTTCTTGATGTGCAGCCAGATACAGAGAATCGTTGTCAAATTTACTGTAACAGATATTCACCAGTTAAAGGAGTAATGGTCTGTGTGTGAGTGAGTGTGTATGGCATCAACCTCTGCCACTTTTCTTATCCAATAAGGACATTGTTGTGGCAAGGATTAACAAACACACCAAAAACTAAGTGCATGAACTTAATTGAGGTCAGTAATACCAACTAACTGACACTTTAACAATATTTCAGAGTAATATGAGTGAGTGAGTAAGTTGGGGTTTTAAGCTGCTTTTAGCAATATTCCGGCAATATCACAGCCGGGACACCAGGCATGGGCTTCACACAATTTGCCCATATGGGGAATCGAACCCAGGTCTTCAGCGTGAAGAGCGAACGCATTAACCGCTAGGCTACTCTCACACTGACTCACACTCGCTCATGCACACACACAGTAAAATGAAAGAATCAGGTAATGTGAAAGTATGAACAAGCCCATCATCATGGAAAGGCTAAAATAATCATCTGACTTGATTTTGTCAACAAATTTTAAGTCATGTTAAAATGTAATTAAAATGTAAAAATATATATCATCAGTACCTTTCACAAGAGGTAGTGAATACTAGTGATCTCTGTATATAGCTTGGGATGTTTTAAGCAGGTAATTAGTGTTATGATTTCATGTGCTCTGCAGGATTGCTGACATAATGCTAATACCATAATTGACCTAGTACAGACAGGGCTGCCCATAATAAACATGACATCACAACAATAACTAGTATTGTGCTGTTACCTTGACCAAATCTGCATGAGTTTAGCCATCCAGTTTTCAATATAAATCACACTTTACTCCAGCTAATCATAACCTGTTGGCAATAAAAAGAACAATACATCCCTATATCTATCCTCATTTTAGAATCCCACAAAACAATATTTAAATCCAACTTTTGTAAAATCATTACTACTCTTTCTTAATTTTACACTTACAATTCCCCCATATACAATAATTCGCATCATTTCAACAGTTACCTATGAGTGTTGTATGTAGGTAAGAGACATATTTTAGGCAACTTTAGTAAATCAGCTGATGTGAGTGAATCAGCTAATGTGAGTGAGAGACATATTTTAGGCAACTTTAGTAAATCACCTGTATTCAGGTCTGTGGGCCATAGAAGTGATGTACATCATACACCTTTATCAGGTCATTGAAGACCATGGGTCTGATGCAGATAAATCAAGGATCATGCAATAGGTGGCATGTCTGAGAGATGCATCTCTGCAGAGGGTTTTGGCTTGGGAGACCATGTGTGACCCTCACCTGCTGTTAAAATGTAAAGACAATCACATATTTCTTGAAAACAAGCAATATGTCTGTCACTGAATGAGCCATTTGAAAAGTAAACGTTTCTGATATGGGTAGGTGCATGCATGCATCACAATGTTGTCTCAGTTGTACAAATATTGAAGGAATTAATTAAACAAAACATAGTTTATGTCAGCTGGAGTCCAGTTTCAAGGTAATCAAGTCCCATCTGTCACTAGTGAGGCATGTGTAGTCCTTGAGCAGGCAAACCAGTGTGTGTTAATCCAAGGTGTGGAGTATGTGCTGTCAGCCTGCTCTTGAACATGCGGAAGACAAGCATAGGATTAGGAAGCCCTATGCTGGCCTGGATCCTCATCTCATGATCATCCGAGATGCATGACATTGCTTAGAGAAGATGTTGGTTGTTCAATACTGACAATAAATAACTTGCATGGTCAGACAGTAATGAATGAGGGGGTTTAGTTTTACACAGCACTCAGCAATATTCCAGCTATATGGCGGCGGTCTGTAAATAATTGAGTCTGGACCAGACAAACCAGTGATCAACAGCATAATCATTGATGCAATTGGGATACGATGACATGAGTCAACCAAATCAGTGAACTTGACCATCCAATCCCGTAAGTTGACTCAAACATGGGTTACCGTAGATCAGTTCTAACCCAGATCTTCATGGTTCAGGTCAGACAGTATGACCTAAGAAAGTGAATAATGTAGAAATTGGGAACAGAAAATGTTTGATTATTCAAGCATCACAAATAAATGCAATTCCACTTTACATTCTGGGCCCACTTGAACCAATGGTTTCAGTGCTGCAATGATATTCACTCACATACCAAACATAGTTACAGCACTAAGATCACTTTGTTAAGTGGGCCCTGGGTGAAGAACTGCAGTCTGCATCTGAATTACTCTCCTCCCTTCCAGAGCAATTGTAGGAATATTTCACTGTCTAAGGTCTCAGGGTAAGCTACACAGGCTGAAATAATGCTTAAATTATATGTTACCTTCACCTCATAACTGTTGTGTTCTGTGTCTTGAGGTTGTAGTGGGTAGTGACTGTGTTGTGAATGCATGCCAATTCATATTTGTCATGTATGCTCCTGGGTTTTAGTGTAAAAGTCTTTGAAGTATTTCTGATTTACTAGTGTATTTTAATAATGTTTATAGTTTAAACAATATTCCTGCATTAGTTGATATAATGTAAAACCATCAATTATATCAGGTACAATGACACACAATAAAAGCACCCAATCCACAAACCTATGTTTCACAACAAGCATGGTATTAGGCAACCTAAACATCTTTTGTAAAGTTTAAGGTTTAAGGTAAGTTTAGATTCAAGTCTTCAAATATTGTTAACTTCTGTAACAGGTTTTGTAATTTCTTCACATTTAAGTCCTTTCAGGTGCCAGATGTCACTGTCATTGCCTTATATGGTTCTGGAATGTTTGTTTGTTGTCAGTGGCACACTTGGCAATATTTCAGCTATACAACAGTGGCCTGTAAATAATCATGTCTGGACCAGACAAACCAAAATCTGAGCATCTTTTTCCACAATACATCTAAATACAGTGACATGCATCAACCAAGAGATGCATCAATTCTAATCTGGATATTCATTGGGGTTGTTTCGGCCGCACTCAGCAATATTCCAGCTATGTGTTGGCAGTCTGGAAATAACTTCCTTTATCATGTCAATAAACAATATTCATTATTCAGAACCTTTAAACCCAACACACAGGTAACATGTCAAGTCTTACGATATCATAGCGAATGATGCCTATGTGCTTTCTTCTTTTGCAAAGCTAAACTTGGTTTTATGTCATCTGGTAAGTTATGTAATGTTGAAGTTGTGATTGTTGTGTCAGGCATCAGTTGTTAAAGGGCAATTGTAAGGTTGGTATATACACATTGTTTTTCAGTACTTGATGTTTATAACTTATAAATTATGCATATTTAAGTTACTATGAAAGTAATACAGTGAGGCTTCTTGAAATTCTTTGAGACTGAGGCTTTGTGGGTAATAAAAGAGTGCATTTGAAACTTTTAGTATGACAGTGTTATGCGAGGTTTCTTTTGTTAATTGACTTTAAGCATGTTAACCAAAGAATATATCTCTTCAGTTGATAGAAACCTTATTTTATAACATGATCTTTGGTTATTTGTGTACGTAAAGGTGAACACACATTGTTTATTTGTATATTTATGCTCTCTTCTTTCCCTTTGGGTATGTTGTTAAGTTGGTCCTCTGACAGTCTCACAAACTCATAATTTCCCGATTTTTGAAATTTTACAAAATGGCTATATTGCTGCAATTTTGTGTCAGTGAGCGAGTATGGTTTTACACAACTTTTAGCAATATTCCATCAATATCACGGTGGGGCACATCAGAAATGGGCTTCACACATTGTACCCATGTGGGGTATCGAACCCAGATCTTCGGTGTGACGAGTGAACGCTTTACCTACAAGGCTACCTCTCCACCCTGCAATTTTGTGTCAGAGTCAGTGATCAAGTTTAGATGTATTTAACTCCATTGACAGAAACATTCTAGAAATATCATGATGTGCTTCACTCATTAGACTCATCTGAGGAATCGAACTCAGGTCTTCAGCTTAAGGGAATGTTTTTACCACTGGCCCACCCTATCAGGCTATCACCCATATTTTGTCAAGAAAAGAGTACACAACTTGATGATAACTGCATTTTATAAGTTGTGTTTTTTCTGTTGGACCATTACTGGATCCATGGTTAATTCTATTCTGCAAAATATCGACAATTTGCAGGAGCATCATATATGAGGGGAGCTAACTCTTGAACTTGTCATGCTCTCCCAAACAGCACGTCTCAGTATTTCACATACTGGTTATCATTTAATAATACATCCTTCATACTTGTCTTACAT